ACGTTATAAACGATGGCCCATTAATATTTCTTACTAGATGACCCATTACGCGGCAAAGCCTAGTCCCTTTCTAGTATACTTTATAGCTAATATATCTAACCAACCACCAGACAGTTTGTGTCTCACCTATATCCATTAAAAAAGTTGGGACAGCAAAGAAAATCTTATGTTTTTTTTTTCAAAGCCAAAATGTATGCTGCCATTGTATGTGCCCAATAACTCTAAAAAAAGGAGCTAATCTGAGATCATTCACTACTTCATGGTAAAAACGAACTTTTACTCTCTTTTTTTTCGAACACACAAGAGATTTGAGTATCATTGAATTAAGCAAGGAACTTTGATTGAATATTATAGAAGGAAACAAATGCTCAATTAGCCTTGTATTTGATATTGTTTTGCCTTATTAAAGAAGCTTTTGACCGGCCATACTAAAAAATTGGTGATAAGTATGATGCATCTTTTCTTCACGCGCCCTTTCAGTAGATAATGTTCGGAACATATTGGAATAAGATGAAATGAGAATATGTTCGTTTTGGCAAGGCCACAGTTCAAGCAACATGGCTTTTTTTGGATATTATGTTTACTAGTCGCCAACCCATGCGTTGCACGGGCTATTATTATTAATATTATAATGTTTAGATTCTACTTATAGAAAAATCATTAGTTATTTTTTAATTATATCGGTTTAACTAAAAGATAAATCAGATGTCAATTACAATAAATGTGGGAGCTCCCCAGAGTGCTCTATTTGTTTAGTTTAAGCCCAATTATAGATTTTATTCGCTTAAATATTAGAGAACTACTATGTGCAATAAAAGAAATCTAAATCTCTACCACTTAACTCAATAAGTTGAAGGTTAAAGAAAATTAAGATTAAATCACAGTGTACCCCACCTGCGTTTGAGAATGTTAATTTGTAAGAATGTTGCACGGGCTATATTAATATTTTAAAAATTTTAATCATATGCTAGAATATTGGTTATTTATTTTCAAAAATATCTCATAAAGGCAATTAGTTGATTTCATATTAGCGGATTTGAGTGGAGATCAACTTTAAAAGAATCTTGATTTTCACTCAGAACTACCATATATATATATAATGTATAAATGGATTTATACATAGAATTATATATTTTTAATTGACAAATAGATTAATAAAAACCAAGTAATTTAATTTCCTATTTAAAGTAATTGTGAATTTTGATAATAATAATATATACAAAATCTTACTCCACAACGACACTCGCTTTTATGCAAAGTACTGGAGTACCAAATGCATTATTTATGCTTTTCTATATCCTTTTTCTAGTTTTTTTATTTTCTAATTTAATAGTTTTCAAAATAGAAAAATCATAGATAATGTGGACTCAGAGTTAATACATACGAAATTGAACTCTCCTTGGAGTCGTAATTTTTTATTTAATAATTCTGTAAATTAGAATTGAAAATATGAGATCGTCCTCCTATTAGGGGTCTGAATTTTAGTATTTCATTTATTTATTAATGTAATTTTAACAATTAGGAAGCTGTGATGTGTCTTGATACATTATTTTAATCAATAATATATAGATATATCTTTTCCTATATATTATTGGCTTGAAAATCTATTTAGAAGGAATACAGATGGGTGCCTGAGTAAATATTCATGACTAATTGAATTGAAGCAAACCTTCAAATAGTAGTATTCACATTTTATTGAATTATACCATAGAATCTGACGAAAACTTTTTTTTTACCAAAACGAAGAAAGCTATTTTCCAACAAAAAGAATACAGAAGTACGGCAAAAAGAACGTAGTAAAGGGATACCTGCGAAAATGGTTTTTGAAGTAGTTCAATTGCACATTACACAACCTGGCGTATAGAGAGGACAAAATGCTTGTTTATGTTCAGAAAAACTATAAATCGATATGTAAGTTGCCTGCTTCAAAATTATTATGAAACAACTTAATCTTTGGTGAACTAATAAATTTTTACTGTCAGTCGACCGTGATAAAATAACTCTATCGATACGCCAAAGATCGTAATAATTTCAAATAAAATTAAAAATATGTTCCTGAAAATATATGTACACAATGACATTAACAGATCAGAACCAAAGGGAATAAGCTGTATTTTTCTTACCCTGTATGATTGCACTGCTGTTGACAGTTCCATCATCCCACATACATGTTGCCTTGTTCCTCGTCTACTCAGTTATTAATTTTTATTCGGAATTAAAATAAATTGAAAAATGAAGAAGTTGTTAGTACCATGGATGAAGCCCCGGCCAGGAGCGGTCGAACCTGGAAATCATGAATATGATGGGGCTGACCGTCTTGCCGGACGATTCCATCGAATGGTCGCTCCTCACGACGATCCCTCGGTTGCATATCGTGCTGCCTAATCCGCCATTAATTCCGATCGGCATCAGCTAGGCTACGTACGTACGTGGTTAACACAGCCCGATCTATTGACCTAACTGGAGATAGGATACGTCCAGATATATTAACAGATTGAATATCCATATCAATGTAGGTAGTTAACAATACGTATAATAGAGGGACTCTCTATACATGTTGGATTCGCTTAAAAAAGCCCATGATAACACAGATTTCAATGTACGGCCATGATTTTACAATCCATCTAATCAATGGTTAGATTTTTCTGGTTAACGTGAGAGCTCCAAAAAAGTGCCCGATTAGTATAGGTATAGATAGCCTCCCGACATATTTTGAAATCGAGGACGAATGGAAAAAAAATATTTGTAAATATGTTGCTATATGAAGGTTATTGCTTGACTGTTTTAAGCCGGAAATTCAAGTTTAATGTTTCATTCAGGAAATTTTCTTGCATATGGATTAATGAGTCAATTAGCCTTGTAATTTCTGATTGGTAACAACATTCATAAAAAATATGATATTTTTTTTTAGAAATACAATGCAAACGCATGTGCTCTCAAAACGCGCACACTCATCCCTCAACGCACACGCACACCCTACCCGTATGAGCACCTTCGTAAAACTCGGATGACATATTTTGAGGTTAACCAAGTTACCACGGTTGTCTCTCTATCGATAGGTACATCGCCTATGAATAAAAATATAATTAGCCGTAAATGTGATCTCCGTGGGCAGGTTCCATCACAAGAAACCTAACTGATGGAGCTACACCCACTTTGCAAAAATTCTGATAAATTGGTTCTCCGTTTGTAAATATTTTATTTAAATATATGTATTTACTAGGCAAGGTCTGGTACTACTTTTCATACAAAAATGATCATTTGCAAACGTTAAACATGAAGTAAAATTAGCATGGAATTTATCAAAAAAATTGAACATAGAAAGTTAGAGAATCAAGTAATATTTCAGGAAAAATAAATAAATTTCACATAAAATGATTTAGTGATATTTTCAAACTTGTACTACCTGCGTCCCATAAAGACTGCAGAGTTTACGTTGAACGTTTGACCGTCTGTCTTATTTTTAGAAATTTTATGATTAGTATTTTATTTGTTATTAGATGATAAAATATGAATAGTACTTTATTTGTGACTAATTTCTATAAAAAAATTATAAAATTTTCAAATAAGACGGACAGTTAAATGTTGGACACGAAAATTCATAAGTGCACTTATAATGGGACGGAGGTAGTAGATAACTTACAATATAGTGAAAATAGAAATATATACCTATACTAATCACAGCACTGCTGGTAATGGGTTACGAAATCTAAGGATTTAATATGATATGATATGTAGCTGGACAACTGGTTATTGGCATTTAAGGGATCCTCTCGTTTATTCTAACCATTGGAATATTAATCAAGTAGGTATAATATATAAAATCTCGAAATATTTAATAACACTTATACAATAGTTGTTTATCATCCTATTAAAACTCAATTCTAAATTTGATCTACAACTCGAGAAAAAAATGACACAGATTAAACACTAGTATGCCGACCATTCATATTCAGATTTGAATATTTGTGAAGACATATTCAAGCTTTTTGGATCAAATCAAGCTTGCATGTTTGTGAAGACATATACCATATACTCCCTCCATCCAATATTTTAAGTGTAGTCGTGTGTTTCCGTGTGGAACGTTTGACCATCCGCTTTATTTGAAAAGTTTATAAAAAAAAGTCGCACATAAAGTATTATTCATATTTTATAATCTAATAACAATAAAAATACTAATCATAAAAAAATTCAAATAAGATGGATGGAGAAATGTTAGATGCAGAAACCCACCGCTACACTTAAAATCGAACCGAGGCAGTAATAATTTAGATCTTCTACTTTTTTGAAAGAAAAACATTTTACGACTATTTAAACAACATAAAAAAATGAAAAGGCTATACATATTAATTTTTTCTTACTAACACGGACGTGTCATGCTATGAGTGTATCTAAATTTTTTTTGTAACTTCTACTCCCTCCGTCACATTTTAAGTGCAGCCATGATTTTCCCTGCCCAACTTTGATCACCCGTCTTATTTGAAAATTATTCGAAAAAATTTAAAAACATAAGTCATGTATTCATGTTTTATCATCTCATAACAATAAAAAATATTAATTATAAAAAATTTAAATAAGACGGACGATCAAAGTTGGACACAGAAGCTTATGGTTACACTTAAAATGAGACCGAGGGAGTATCTAACTAAGGCCCAGTTCTTTTCCAACTCCAAACTTCAACTTCCTTATTTTCTGTTAGCATGTTTTTCAAACTATTAAATGATGTGTTTTTTGCCAAAATAAAATCTATATAAAAATGGTTTTAAAAAATTTAATAAATCTATTTTTCAAGTTTATAATTATTAATACTTAATTAATTATGTGCTAATGAAGTTTTTTTTGTTTTACTTGCGCTAAAAATCTAACTTCAAAAGCCTACATTGAGATGACTATTAGTAAAAAAATATTACGTGTAGTAGTGCTCGAGCAGAATATTGTGACGTCCTTTTCCACTGTATAAAACCACCAAAATTCACCATGTCAATATGAGATCGCCTTACCGATCGACGCGTTCTTTGAACTTGGCGAGGAAGCGTGCATGGTCGTCGGCGACGCCGGCGACGCGCTGCAGCAGCGCGCGCCGCTCCACGGCGGCGAGCCGCTGGACGTTCACCTCCCGCAGCTCGCCGTCCGGCGGCATGGCCAGCAGCGCCGTCCGTGCTCGGTCGTAGGTCGGCAGCTTCTCCAGCGCCGCCCACCGCTGGTCCTCCTCGTCGTCCTCCCTCGCCGAAGACGACGACCGCGAGAACGAGCAGATCTCACCGGCATCGTCCATCCCGCCGACGTTGTCGATCTACCTGAATCGGATTGCAGCCACAGCCATCGGAGGAGGAAAGAAATGGGCACTTATATATATAGCACGTCGAGCAAATTAAGGTGAAATTTCAAGGAGAAATTTAAACTGTGCAAATAACACGTAAGCAGCTTATGAAAGGACATGTAGACTAGTGGTTATAGTGACCTGAGTAGTACCCCAAGGTCCTGAGTTCAAATCTCCTATGGAGCGAATTTCAGATTGGGTTGTTTGCGGGGCTAAGTTCCCTATTTCAATGGCCGTATATATCCGATTGGATGTAGAGGACGGGTAAAAAATACCCTTCTTAAAAAAACACGTAAAGAAGCTTAGTTGAGCGAATTTCAGATTGGGTTGTTTGCGGGGCTAAGTTCCCTATTTCAATGGCCGTATATATCCGATTGGATGTAGAGGACGGGTAAAAAATACCCTTCTTAAAAAAACACGTAAAGAAGCTTAGTTGAGAACACGTAAAGACGATGCTGGATGCCTGGATGCATGTCAAACTGTGCAATGTGATGTTGAAATAGAGCACGTAAGTCCAAGAATTTAATGCTCTCAAAAACAAAAGTCCAAGAATTGAAGCAAGCTGTTTACTTTTACCGTTGCCATGGAACGTATTATACTGTTATCATGGAACATGTTGTACTGTTTATTGACAGATGGACACGAGGAGCTTGCAGAAGGGTACACTATGACAATGACAATAATTATTTTTAGCATTGGCTTTGAAATCTCTAGGACAAAGTTTTGTCAACAAATTATTAAACTACTGGAGAACTGATCTTTTCGTGTGTCGGCCAAAAATCATATTAGTCCCGGTTCCTGTTACAAACGGGACTAAAGAATATGTTTAGCCTCGGCTCAAAAGCCCAATGAAACTTTTTGATCTTTAGTCCCGGTTAGTATTATCAACTAGGACTAAAGATTATTTTTAGTATTTTTAGTGATTTTGGATGTAGATGATTTTGTTATTGAATTTGTGGATGATTTTGTGATGTTTTTTTGAATGTAAATGATTTTGTTGTTGAGTTTGGTTTGAAATCAACATACAAGCAGCAACAAACAATTAGAAAAAGAAAAAAAACTTTAGTCCGGCTTGTTAACACCAACCAGAGCTAAAGATGGTAGCGCCATCCACATAGCATTACCATCTTTCGTCTCGGTTGCTATTATCAACCGGTCTAAAGATCAATCTTAAGTTCCAATTATATCAACCAGGACTAAAGATTTACTGAGCTTCCTAGTTTGCAATCCGGGATTAAAGGCCATTGCAAACCGGGAGTAAAGAGAGTTTCTCCACCTGTGTTATTTTTATTTGCTGAACGATGGATCAGTTTTAGGCCCAATGGTGTGAGCAGTAAAGAATAAGCTGGATGCTAAAGCATGGAAATGGGCAAAATGGCTATGCCCGATGTTTGAAAAGTGCATTTCAGACAACGAATTGAACCAAACCTGCGGAGAAACGGATTCTAATCGCCCGATAGGCTATCCCCTCATATTCTTTCCAATTCAATGCAAAACGCTGTAGAAAGAATTTTAACAAAAAAAAATGACACCGAGAGAAAAGAAAATGACTCATTGAGGTTTGAATAGTACAAGTACTTTTCAATATTCATACGTTAATTTGTCTTTCTTTTATCTTATTTCCTATGTTGAGTTTCGCCATAGGATGAAGTGATATATATACGTTGCATACATGTTGTCGGTTTTTTAAAATTTTTTATAATTATATTTTTTTAAACAAACGAGAGGAATACCATCTCTACGGATAAAAACAGCTTTCCGCTAGTTGCAGTATCATTGCATTTCATGTTTTCAAAGGCTAGGAAGTAGGCCGGCTAGCCTTTGAAAATACTTATTATACTGTCATTATTGTCAGGTGAATATATATGTGCCTAGACAAACTCGTCCCGATGGACCGGACGCGAGGAACTAGTCCCTTCATCCTAAAATATTTGACCCTAAAATATTTAACGCCGTTGACTTTTTTAAATATGTTTGACCGTTCGTTTTATTAAAAATATTTAAGTAATTATTAATTCTTTTCCTATCATTTGATTTATTGTTAAATATACTTTTATATATACATATAGTTTTACATATTTCACAAAAAATTTTGAATAAGACGAACGGTCAAACATGTTTAAAAAAATCAACGGCGTCAAATATTTAGGGAATGAAGGAGTATAAATTAAGCACGTAGCGTACGCGCGTACGAGTGTCATCGTTAAGCCGTAAATATGTATTTGCGCAGCAGCAGCGTACACACACTAATCCCCAACGTCACTGATCGAAATTTTCCTCCCTTAATTTTCTTTTTTCTTCTGAAATAACCAAAGTGACCGTGCGTTTGTACGTATCAGGGACGTTCTGACACCTCTAGCTTTCGTGATCGAAGAGTGCTTTAACGGCACATTTTCACTACTAATGTTAGTACGGTAGTACTGTAACATAATTAAGTCGGACGGTTTGATAAATTTATATGGATATGTTAGTTTTTTCTTTTGTTATAGGTAAGTATAATGTAGGTGTTTTGACTTATTTTCCGAATATAATGCCCTGCTGTCCTTCCATCTCGTCTGCCCCGTCCACCTTCTCTCAAAAGTCGTCCGCCTCTTGTAAGTCATGACTGGTACCTGAATTAACACGTGCAATCGGCTCTCTCAATTTATAAGTTGCATGACCGTTAGGCCAATAGGTACTGTTATTGCTAGTCGATTTGCCGTCCATACTATAGCTTGTACTTTCTTTGTGTCCATGGGATTCCAAACGATAGGGTTGAAGTTAGTAGCCGTGGATCGGGCCTGTGAATTGTGCTTTGTAAGTTTTCGAGTGGTACCTACTTAAAGATGTAGTGTTAACGAAGGACAACTTGACTAGGAGGAACTGAAATGATAGCAAGAGGTGTTGTTTTTGCATGAAAAATGAGACAATTCATCATCTTTTCTTGGATAACCATTATTCCATATTTCTTTGGAGAGCATTACAAATTACTTTTGAGTTATACCCTCCACACAGTACATCTTATATCTTTAGGAATTGGATTGTAGGTTTTGATAAAAAAAAAACAAGAAACTTATCCTTGTAGAAGCATCTGCATTATGTTGAGCTCTATGGCTTTGTAGGAATGATATAGTTCTTGATAAATCACCATCAAAATATTATATGCAGGTAATTTTCAGGGTAGCATATTGGCTCCAATGTTAGGCCCAGCTAAAAAGGTGTGATGAAGACATCAAACTACTAAATGATGTATGTCGTAAACTTGAGTCGACGGTCATGCAAATCTTCGCCAATTTCGGATGGAGGTTCACTAATATGATTCAATTAATAATCGTGGATCTTTTGTCTTGTGTTGGTGCTTCTCAGTTTGTGTTCATTTCAATTATGTAAGCTTTTTGTGGACCTTTTAGTGTGTGAAAGCTTGTATGTGAATTTATGTAATAATTGGCTGTAACTCTTGAGCAAAGGCCGGAATTATATTCCATTATCTAAAGAAAATGGAACCGCCGTCGCTTCCTTCAATGCGGGGGAGCCTGCCATCGGTTGCGCCGCCCGCCGCCTGCGGATCTAGTCATCACAGGCCCAACGTTGGCGGATCAGGCCGTCACGGGCCCGGTGGTGGTGGCCTGAGCCCTGCCGCTCATTGCCTGTCTCGTCCACAGAAGGTGAGAGAGGAGAGGAAAGGAGGTGACGAAGTGGAGAGGAAATAATGAGGAGAAAAGGTGAGAGAGAGATGAGTGGATAAGGATTAAAAAAATTTAAAGTGTCGGGAGGGAAATGAGGAGGTAAGTCAGACTTAGGCGGATCCTTAAGAGGCACGCCTGCGAAAATATATTTTCGCGTATGGCCTCTTAAGAGTTCTGCGGACTTAATTACTTTTGCATATGTACTCTTAAGAAGTCTACGTGCGAAAATTGATTTTTACGTGCAGTCCTCTTAAGCAGCCGTATGCAAAAATGGAGGTCGATTTTTGTAGACGTGACCAGTTATGATCCGCTTGCAACCTAAATAATGTCTCATCCATAATAATTATTTTTGTAGTAGTGGGTTTTGAAGTATAAAAATGGTAAGACACGATATGGTTGTTCAGATTATATGATAGTATGTTGCTAATAGGAAAGAATCATAAGTGCTAGGATTATTTTAAACCCTAAACATTTAATATTTTATCATACACAAACATTTAATATTGTATCTTTCTTTTACAAAAATTAATAATATATTACTACTGGTGTCTGGTGTTAACAGCAACACACTAAAATTATTTTTCTTTGCCACCTGATACATAAGTGCTAGCACATGATAAATTACAATATAGCTTCAAAAAATACACCAGTCTTGACAGTGCCAAGGAGAAGAGCAACAGCGTCAAAAATTAGACTTTTTTAATAGCACTGATTTTCAGAAACATTGGGTCATCAACTAGACTTTTAAAAATTACACCACACATGCACCACTGCTTCCATCAAGATTTTTCACTGCACATGTATAAAATAATTCAATAGAACATATTAGTGGTATATATATCAAGCTAAAAAGTAATTGAAAAGGATGAAAATACAAGTGCAACTACAACGCTTTCCACTATGCCAACCACTTAAAAATACCAGAATAACTCAGAAGCACAAGAATTATAACATGGTACAATTTAGACCATGGACAACAAAGAAATCTCAAGTTTCAATCCATAAATACACAACATTTTTTTCTGGAACATGGTGAATAATATATCACAGAGATTGAGTATAATGTACATGACAAAACATTTTTTTTTCTGGTACAAAAGACTTGTTATTCAATGAGACATCTGTATGAGATTACTTACAGCTCCCTGCTCGATTGTAGCAGAAAAATCCACCATGCAACTGAGTATGAATGCAAATCCCTAAAAACTCAATTACCAATCAGATTGTTTGGATACAACAGCAAAAACAAACTTGAATCTATTTATCTTAATGAGCTACATCTTCCATTCAACTACCGAAGTCACACAGAAGAGGCAACAAAGGCACATAGTTGCACGGAGCATTACTGCCAG